TATGCCATTACAGCTGACCTAAGTAAGCATTCCTAAGAGGGTGTTTACAAGAGGCGGACCGGGATTTGTACCCGCTTCTTATGGCCTAGAAACCTATAGACCCACTTAGCCTCTGAAAAACCTTTGCTTTAGGAGCGTTAATATTTGAGGTGTTCAACATCTCAGTACGTTCCTACATCAAGCGCGATAAATGCACACCCTAAACGGATGGGAAGTTCATTAAGTAAAGTAATGAGCAAACAATTTTATGTGGACCAATTTTCGGGTGTGATGTCAACTGGAAAAAAGAGGAAAAAAAAACTGTTTAATGGACTTTATTGAGAGGCTATAAAAATGCAAAGTGCCAATAAGCCTCTGAGGGAATGGTATAATTCGTCCAAAAATTAAAGACAAAACAATCAAGATTACCCTGGAATGAAGTGCCAAAATGTAGTAATGTTATTGGGATTAAACTTGGGATACAGAGAAGATTTAGTTAATGTTAAAACCTAATTAATTACAGTATGCCCAATAAATTAAACTAAGAGAGGTTTTGCTTGCAAAGTTCCAAATGTTTGATCCACTAGGTTTTAGTGCACCCCTTACTATAAGAGGGAATTATTAATTCAGGAAGCATGGAAACCTTTAATGTGGCTTGGAAGACATTCCTACCTGAGGATTCATTAACAGGTGGAGAATTAATTGGTGATCATGAAAAAATTCCAATGTTGGATTTCCCACGCCAGGTGGCCAATCCAAATGAAAAAATGTACTCCACATTTTTTGTGATGGGCATCAAAATGGGCCCCCCCCCCCTTGCCGATCGAGGCTTTTGCTTGCACTCAAATGATAGTGTATTTCTCTTGTTATGTCTAAGGCGAAAGTAGTCTCCAATTAAATCACGTACCTTGCCTTAGTTGAAATTAACAGCCATTTATAGAGAGGTCAAATTATCTAATTATATAAGCAATAAGTTGCAGAGTACATATTAGCGACACTGTAATTTGGTCTGATAATGCGGTATCCTTACAATGGATTCGCAATGGTAAACAGTAAAATTGTGTACGTACTCAAACAGAGTCCGCTGAAAATTTATCAGATGCAAGAGTAGTATAATAGTAATGGGTCAGCATATGTTTAACATTAATCATATACCTTTTAGAGAATCCCAGCTGTTTCTTGTCTCGAGGTTACCTATGCTAAATGTTGGAAATGTTGTATCATGGTTTAAAGGACCGAGCTGGTTGTAAATAAAGCTAATTGGCCTGTACAAAAGGCGTATATTGCTCCTGTTGAAATTACTGTGACGACCACCGCTCCAATAGTTTGTCCTTTCTTTTCTCCTATTGATATAAATAGGTATTCTTCTTTAACCCAAACTGATCAATGTAATAAACTAAGTTGGCGTTTGAAATCTCTTAAACAAGATAATATGTCATATAAGTTTTCACATCCTCTTGATATTGGAATAAAGAGAGTACAGGAGGAAATCTATGGAAATGAGATTAAATTGGATGGATGGAAAGAAAAAATTGCGAAGAGGTTCTATAATAGAGAAATTGGGGCTGTATTTAGAAGAACAATAGTAATAGGTGCAGAGGTAGGTTAACAAAATGCTGAATGGGTGATATGCTAAACACCCTATCTTACTGCCCAAAACTCATCATCTAACAAATTTGATTGTTCTAAATGCCCATAAAATGTAATGCATGTGGGGTACCAGAATACCTTAAATTGTATAAGGGAAACTTTCTGGATATCCACCAAGGACGGCAAAGTGTAAAAAGGATGATTAAATCTTGTGTAATAGTCCCGTTGATGCCAGATCCTATAATGTAACCCAGGTCCACTCACCATGCCAAAGGATCGTGTACAATTAGTGAAACCATTTGATGTTAATCAGGTGTAGACAAAGTGTCCAATAATTTTAACAGGTACGTCAAATGTGTTCCACTGAGATTGTTGTTGTTTGGTTCACGCTTACTGCTACTAGGGCAGTTCATTTAGAAGTGGCACAGGACTTGTCCTCAGACAGTTTATACAGCTGTTTCGAAAATTGCGCTAGAAATCCTGTCCGAGGTTGAAGCTTTCGGATAATGCCACATATTTGTAGCAGGTCTCAACACTTGATAAATTAAATAATAGTAACGATGTTCACTCCTGTAACCCAGCGAGGGTGTACCTGGAAAGTTTATTACTCCCTAGAGCCCCTTGGCAGGGGGGGGGCTGTACGAAAGACGATAGCACAGTGAAGAGGTGTCTCCGTAAAGGTACTACACCGAGAGAATTATTTGAAGAATTCCGTGCAGTGTTGTGCGGCAGAGAATCGTATAAAAATAGCCTCTCTCGTACCTGTGTGATACACGCTGAAATCAGATGTATTTACACCTGTCTCACCTAATATGTGGAAGGAAATTGGAAGCTGCCCCATGTCTATAAGATAATCCGGAAAGAAAGTGATGAAGATTACAATGATGCGGCAGTGGTGTACTAATTTTAAATTTTAAATCAAGTAATTGATCATTGGTCCTAATGGTGGCGTAAGGATATCTTCTTACACAACATGAACACTTTATGGTGCGACAAGCAGTAATCGACAGAGCCATTCACCTAAAAGGAGTGACCTTGTGTTAAATGACACTGAACAACATCGAACAATATTTGTGGCCTCTGGCAAAGTATTTGACATTGTAACCCAGATCGCAAGGTTTGTCAGGAATGTGCCAAAGTGTTTGTGTCGTGGCCAGGAAATTTACGTCCCAATTATTAAATTGATACCCTTGATTAGTGGTATCAATCAAACGTAAATGAAAATCTGAGGAAAAGGTGACACAAGTGATATGGAAGATAACGCAGACCAAGTGATTGCCGGAAGATAAATTGTGTAAGACCTACAGGGAGAACACCACTCAAGCCAGAACTGGCATGGAATCGGTCTCCTAAAGGAAGGAGTAATTTGAATTTCGTTTAGCAACGAACTCGCCGGCGCAGTGGTGGAAAATACACGTAAATATTTCCAGAAAATTCAGTATTTATATGTAAATAGATGGCCAAACATTATGTTAATAATATTTTTATGTCATAGGAATTGGAAAGCCTGCGCCTGTGCAGCGGAGACTTGCCATCATTATTTTGAATTTTGTTACAAATAGTTGGTATAATGTGGAAGAATTTTTCGTGCTCTCTAAGGATAAAATTGTTGTTGACACCTCTCAAATAGGAGGCGAAATTGGGTGGATGTGCATTCCTGCAAAACTTGAATATCAGACGACTGACAAGACAGCTCCAGGAACCTATTAATAAGCTCTCTAGATTTGTGTGTAATTCTGGCCAGCATTATTTTTCATAAGATTTTAGGTAGAGAGGTTTTTCTGAGTATGATAACTATCAAACTCCATCAAATGGGGATGATATTAAATATATTTTTCCTTTCTGTTATGTAATTGTGAAATATATATAACCATTTATTATTTTTTAATATTCAGTCCACAAATTTATATCTTTACCAGTATTCCTGGTGATGTTTTTCATTTGATAATCACTAGGTCCAGAGCAACTTGTGGATATAACGTGGTAGTATCGAAGGGGGACATTTTGCGACCTAGGTGTCCAAATTCCTACTTGTCTATGTAATACTGATACCTTAATAAATTATCTTGTATCATTTACTGTTATGCACATAATAGTTACATTCAATAAATGCAATTTCCACAAGTATACTCTGGTTTTCTAGTTATTATCTCCTCCAGTTTGCCTAACGTATTGTTGGAATTTTGCCCTCCATTGAAACATCATGTTGTTTTTCCGTTGCCACTGGAACACTTTAGTTTTAATCTTCTGGAGGTTAACCAAGTCCAATAGATGACAGCCTCATGCAGATCCTATAATCATCTGCAAAGCATGATACGGTGCTGTGGGTTATATCTCTGTCTATATCTGATATACTCCAGGTATGGGTCGTCAGTAATAAATTACCATAAATTAACCTGACAGAGTAATTATGCGAATTATATCCATTAGGGTCGCCGAGAGGGACTTATATAAGGATTATTTTCAATGGTGTCCCATCGTTTTTACTTATCTCATAAACGTACATATGTCAAGTATTCTGTCTATGAAATACTATTTATTTATTTATTTAGTAATTTAAGCATACATACAGAGGTACAAAAAATACAGGTAAGAGCAGCATGCCAAAGCCACTTATATGCATAGCACTTATATGCATACCGATAAAACCATTTAATGTTTTTTATCGTGTAAAGCGCTAAATCCGTGTGGGTCATAGAGCGCTTGAAGGAAAGGGGGAGGCAATTGGGTTCGATCCAGGAAATGGGAAGATAGGTCCAGTTCCTCAGATCATAAGCCTCCCGTCTCCCTTGACGGAGCTTAAAAGGCGTTGATCTCCAGCTCCTGGACCTCTTGGGAGGACCGCAGGAAATATACACCTAGATGTGTATTTCTCTCAGTATATATATGCTGAGAGTTATCTTTAATTCCCATTTTAGTTATTAATAAAGTGTTCTTGTCTGGCGGTGAAAATGTTATACGGGGCCTTAATGACCCTAGTGCAGTCGACAGGCTTGAAACTCCATTAACCAAGCACTCTTACGAGTGTTGATCTACTGCTCCTGTGCCTTTTGACGGTGTTATTATTAAACTGTGTGCTAGATTTCTTGAGTGTGTTAACTGAAACTCGTGATTTTCTTTGAGATCATGATCTCAAGCGCCTGCTACTATTATGCTTCTTGCGTGCACTGAGGTAGAGGGGGCTGGGGTTACAGGATACGGGGGATGCTTTTCTCGGATTGCTCTGCGAGATAAACACGTATAGTTATTATTATAATTTGAAAATAAATCTTGAGGTGGGGGGGGGGAGGAAGGGAGGATGTGAAGTATGGAAGGAGACACAGACGTGTGAAAGGCAGAAGGGAGGATAATGTTTGCCACGGAAGGAGGGATGGATACAGGGAGGTAAAGAGGGAGGGAGTGATGGAGCAATGAGTAAAGTGAGTCAGAGAACACCTCAGTAGTGTGCTGGTTACCGTGGGTGTTGGAGGTGTGCTACTCTCTCCTACACACACTCAAGTTAGTTAACTTCTCCACTGAAGTCACGATTCTTTAATCTGTTACAGGAGCTTTAACAAATTCGTTAGCGGTTTTCTGTGTTAATCTGTAAGGGGAATTGGTGGATCCTTGATGATGGTGAAAGCTCTTGATCCATTGAATTGGATCTACCTTTCGCTTTCCTTGGATCAAATCGGATTATATTCCGTTTCCCCAGTCGCAGTAGGAGACTTACGGGTTTTGCGCTGCCCATTATAATACTATTAATGATGTCAAAAGTATATTAATATCTTCATATTAATCCCTGACAAGTGGTGCAAATTCTACTTTATTATTGTTAAAGATTAGCCGGTAGTCTCCCGGCCCGGGCCTTTTCCAAGTGGTGGCCCGGCTTTGACTCCCTCTTTAGGGAGTGTGTGAGACCTAAGTCTGCCATGGGAGGAGGCACAAGTACCTCCTCATCATTGGGACTAACTGTCCCCAGGCCTAGCCACAAGCTAGGCCTCTCTGGTCTGCCATCCCCGCCCCAAGGGGGCAAATGGGAATGACAGTCTTATGAGCTAAAAGCTCGGGCTCAGGCACCTACCCTACCCTAGAAGGGTTAGGCATGGTATCGATTCAACAAATTCTACTGGAACCAGATTTTTTTTTTTTTTTGGGGGGGGGGGGGGGATGAAGTTAGTCTTCAAATGAGTATTTATTTTCACTTATAGTCTGGGACAGACCGAAACGTCGGCAAGTTAATGTTCCCAATTTGTGAGAGTTCTATTGTTCCATTTAGAATATTGTGATTTGTGGATACATTAGTCATTGTTCTAGCTAGGATACTGTAATTTGTGGATACATTAGTCATTGTTCCAGATAGGATATTGTAATTTGCATCATATTATTAACAGTATACAATACCGACAAGTTGATGAACATTACACATTAACTATCCTTTAGTAACTTTTATTACAGGAATATTTCTCCCGTACAACAGACTTGGTGTCTTCGACTGTAGTTTGTTGTGTTTGTGAAGTGTTTCAGCAATAAAAAAAAGTGTTACTAACTGTCTGGTTCATCAACAAGGTGATTTGTGGATTCGTTACGAATTGTTCCAGCTAGGTGATTGCGATTTTTTTTTATTTTATGTGGTGTCTGGTTTTATGGTTGCAGATGATTGGACCCCATCAAAGAAGGTACCTTGATACCGGTGAGATGGGGGCTCTTTATCCAAGGAAATGGATTTGGATCAGTCTCAGTGTCTCCCTTTTTTAACGGGTTTAACGCTCCTCCATGAATAACAAATAATAAATTATAAGATTGGCTTTATTCTCTCGTAATTAGCAAACGGAGGATCGAGTCCCCTCCACTCGTCGCACTGAATGGCCCACACTGATTTAGCGCTTCATGTAATCTTAACATGATAAAGGCGGTTACCTTGATGCTGGCGAGGGAAGGGTTCTTGATCCAAGGAATTAATTGCATTAAATCTGCTTATCTCCCAGTTCCCTTGCGCACTTTGGCCCCTACGTGTTTAGCGTTGTCCCGTGAATCCAGTACGAATTAGAAGCTTTTATATCAGCATTGAATAAATATTCTTACGGGTCTGGAACTTGTTTTAGCTATAATAATTATAATAATGAAAATATAATCATTGAGTGACAGCATCAAGTGATAAGTCGTGATGGGTAACTCTTGTTATTTGAGTCACAGATAGCAGTTAAAGGTCATTCTGGTTCAGATATCAGGTCATCCATGTTGCAGCCACTGATCAACCAAGTTGTGATGTTTGGCCACCCAAGTCGTAGTAACTTTGTGTGTGTGTGTGTGTGTGTGTGTGTGTGTGTGTGTGTGTGTGTGTGTGTGTGTGTGTGTGTGTTGCCACCACTGAGGCTGTGAAGGTGACCCTCATGCTGACGTGCACACACACACACACACACACACACACACACACACACACACACACACACACACACACACACACACACACACACACACACACACACACACACACACACACACAATAAATTCCTTTGCCAGGACTAAAGTATTAATAAATTAATTATCCACTAGAACAGGCTGCAGGACTTGACATAAAGTGGTCAAGGTAGATAAGAGAGACTACTGTTGTTGCTGAGTGTGACTGGAAGCTGCACCAAGGTCTTAACAACGACACTTAACTGTATCTCTTAAAAACTTGTAACAATTATAACATTGAAGGAGTTTATGAGGGAGAGGGGGGGTTGTGAGGGTGAGAGGGGGGCTTGTGGGGTGAGAGGGGGGCTTGTGAGGGTGAGAGGGGGCTTGTGAAGGTGAGAGGGGGTTGTGAGGGTGAGAGGGAGGCTTGTGAGGGTGAGAGGGGGCTTGTGAGGGTGAAAGGGGGGCTTGTGAGGGTTTAGAGGGGGGCTTGTGAGGGTGAGAGGGGGCTTGTGAGGGTGAAAGGGGGTTGTGAGGGTGAGAGGGGGGTTGTGAGGGTGAGAGGGGGGCTCGTGAGGGTGAGAGTGGGCTTGTGAGGGTGAGAGGGGGTTGTGAGGGAGATAGGGGGGATTGTGAGGGAGAGAGGGGGTTGTGAGGGTGAGAGGGGGTTTTGAGGGTGAGAGGGGGTTTTGAGGGTGAGAGGGGGTTGTGAGGGTGAGAGGGGGTTGTGAGGGTGAGAGGGGGGGTTGTGAGGGTGAGAGGGGGGTTGTGAGGGTGAGAGGGGGTTGTGAGGGTGAGAGGGGGGTTGTGAGGGTGAGAGGGGGGTTATGTGAGGGTTAGGTAGAGGGGGGTTTAGTGAGGGTTGAGAAGGGGGGTTGTGAGGGTGAGAGGGGGGTTGTGAGGGTGAGAGGGGGGTTGTGAGGGTGATGAGGGGGGTTGTGAGGGTGAGAGGGGGTTGTGAGGGTGAGAGGGGGGTTGTGAGGGTGAGAGGGGGCTTGTGAGGTGAGAGGGGGTGTGAGGTGAGAGGGGTTGAGGGGGAGGGGTTTGAGGGTGAGAGGGGGTTGTGAGGGTGAGGGGGGCTTGTGAGGGTGAGAGGGGGGTTGTGGGTAGGGGTGATGAGAGGGGGTTGTGAGGGTGAAGGGAGGGTGGAGGGGTTGTGAGGGTGAGAGGGGGGTTGTGAGGGTGAGAGGGGGTTGTGAGGGTGAGAGGGGGGTTGTGAGGGTGAGAGGGGGTTGTGAGGGTGAGAGGGGGGTTGTGAGGTGAGAGGGGGTTGTGAGGGTGAGAGGGTCGGTTGTGAGGGTTTTAATGGGGGCTTGTGAAGGTCGTGAGGGGGTTGTGAGGGTGAAGGGGTTGTGACCGTGAAGGGGGCTTGTAGGGTGAAGGGGGGTTGTGAGGTTGAGAGGGGGGTTGTCAGGGAGAGGGGGTTTGTGAGGGTGACTGATAGGCCCAGTGAGGGGTCAAGAGTGTTACGGGTTTTTATATAGTAAATTCTATTGTGTAGTTGAATAATTTTCGATGAGGTAATCTGAGTCAGTGGGAAATAGTCTGGGTGCTTGTGATTAAATTTATAGAGGTTGTTCAAGAGCTCCGTCTTCATTTAAGGATGTACTTGATTAGCTGAAGTGATCTGAAGACATGCTATTGACCACATGGAATATCCAAATTAATGGCATCAACAATAGAAGTTAGTGTCAATATATATTGCAACTCCTCATTTCCCCTTCGAAATTTTGGTTAGGTGAAACTTGATCCACCCAACCGGAGCTCCACTTCCTTGGATTAAGCATCATTACCTCTGATTACCCAGGCGCTGTTTAACTAAGACTGGTTGTTACCACATGAATATTTTAATAATAATAATAATAAATTACTATTGTTGTGGACAATAATATTTCGACTCTTGCGAGTGCTAATCGACGCTCGTTGGCGGAAAATTAGTCTGTGAACGACGTAGATTTAACATTATTATCTGAAGAGATGTTGGGAAATTCAAGCTCCGTGTCTTCATTTGCGGATGACACCTGAATTGCCATGACAGTGACTTCATCGAAGACACTGCAAGACTCCAAGCGGACATCAACCAAATCTTCAAATGGGCCACTCAAAACAATATGAAGTTCAGTGAAGAGAGATTTCAACTACTCAGATATAGAAAACTTGAGGAAATTAAAACTGTATCAGGGTATACAACAAATTCTAACCATACAGTAGAGCGAAAAAGTAATGTGAAGGACCTGGGAGTGATAATGTCAGAGGATTTCACTTTCAAAGACCACAACAATATATCTACCGCATCTGCTAGGAAAATGATAGGATGGATAATGAGAACCTTCGAAACTAGGGACGCTAAGCCCATGATTCTCTTCAAATCTCTTGTTCTCTAGGCTGAAATACTGCTGTAAACTAACTGCCCCCTTCAAGGTAGGCGAAATTGCTGACCGAAGAGTGTACAAAGAACTTTCACGGCACACATAAGTACGATAAGGCACCTAAATTACTGAGAACAGTTGAAGTCCCTTGATTTATATTCCCTGGAACGCAGGTGAGAGAGATACATGATAATATACACTTGGAAAATCCTAGAGGGATTAGTACCAGACTTGCACACGAAAATCATTCCCTATGAAAGCAAAAAACTTGGCAGGAGATGCAACATTGCCCCAATGAAAAGCAGGGGCGCCACGAGTACCCTGAGAGACAACACAATAAGTGTCCGGGGCCGAAAGACTGTTCAACTGCCTCCCAGCATACATAAGGGGGATTACCAATAGACTCCGGCTGTCTTTAAGAAGGCACTGAACAGGCACTTAGTCAGTACCTGACCAGCCCGGCTGTGGTTCGTACGTCAGTTTGCGTGCGGCCAGCAGTAACAGCCTGGTTGATCAGACCCTGATCCACCAGGAGGCCTGGTGTCAGACCGAGCAGCGGGGGCGTTGACCCCCGAAACCCTCTCCAGGTATACTCCAGGTATTGGCCACCAATTGCGTGTGCGGGTATATACTAGTACTTGCAGGGTTCAATTCATAGCTCCTGGGCCCGCCTCTTTAACTTCTCATGACAGGCGTGACTGATTCCCGGCTCTCTGGGCCCAGTCATATCTACTCAAAGCTACGTCATAT